TTTTTTTTTTGGACTGTGGATATCCAATTGCTTTATGACCATTTGTTTAAAAAGTCATCTTTCCTCCACCAAATTGCTTTTGTGAAAAATCAGTTGTCTGTATTTGTGTTGGGACTATTACTTGGTTCACTATTCTATTATATTGATCCATATGACTTTTCCTCTGCCATTACCACAGTCTTGATTATTGAAGCTATATGGTAAGTCTTACTAGGTCAAGGGATATCTCCCACTTTATTCTACTTTTCCCAAATTATTTTAGCTAGTTAAATATCTTTGTCTTTATATATAAATTTTAGAATACTCTTATCTTTGTCTTCAAAATCTTGCAATGGTTTTAATAGGAATTGCATTAAAACTGTTATCAATTAGGGAAGCACTGAAATCTTTACGATAATGAGGCCCCCGTGAACAGAGTATCTCTCTATATAAGTCTTTGATTTTTTTTTTTTAATCAATGTTTTGTAGTTTTCAGCACATAATCCCTGTATATGTGTTTTTAGATTTATACCTAAGCATTTCATTTTTTAAGTGATTGTAAATGATATTGTATTTTTAATTTTGGATTTCACGTTTATTGCTAGAAATCTAATTGATTTTTGTGTTGATCTTTTACCTGTAATTTTGCTGAACTCACTTATTTGTTCTAGGAGTTTGTTATATAGATTCCTTGAGATTTCCCACTAGACTATTATGTTATCTGCAAGTAAGGACAGTTTTATTTCTTCCTGTCTGGTCTGTATGCTGTTCCTTTTCTAGCCTTATTGCACTGGGTAGAACTTCAGGAATATGTAGAATAGCAGTGATGAGAGTAGACATCTTTCCCTTGTACTTATCTTAAGAGAAGAATATTCAGTGTTGATTAACTGTAATGTTAGCTGTGTATTTATTGTAGATACACTTTATCAAGGTGAGGAAATTACCCTCTATCCCCCTTTATTCCTAATTGGCTGAGAGGTTTTATTATGCATAGATGCTTAATTTTGTCAGATAACTTTTGTCTCATTTAATATCATCTATTCTTTTCTTTAGCTTGTTATCATGGAATAGTACATAGATTAATTTTCAAATGTTAAACAAGCTTTGGATCCCTGGAATAAACCTGACTTAGTTATGGTGAATAATTCTTTTTATATAATACTGGACTGTATTTATTAATGTTTTGTTGAAGGATATTTATGAGATACTGGTTTGTATTCGGTTGTTTTTTACTGCCTTTGTCTGATTTTAATATCAGCATAGTATTGGTCTCATAAAATGAATCAAAAAGTGTTTCTGCTATTTTCTGAAGGAGGCAAGATTTATAGAATTTGTGTTAGTTAATGTTAAAATTTTGGTAAAATTTGTCAGTGAAACTTTCTGGCCTTGG